ATAAGCTTGCTAGCCCCAACCCCCTTTCCTCTTGTGTCCTTGCTAGCCTTGCAGAACCTGTTTATTTGCAGGGGGGACATAGAAAGCCCCCACAGAAGGTTAACTGCTGGCGCCAGCTAGCCTGGATGGTGGGTCATAATCTCACTCCCCCCATCCCAACCCATGGGGGCTGCAAAGCCTGTGAAAAGTCCGGAAGCCTTGTTCATATTTGGGAGACAAAGAAACTAAGGGATAAAAGGAAAGACAACCCCCCCAGCCCAACCGCTCATTCGGTACTCAGGCTTTGGAGACTGACTCCCCTGAGTCACCACACTAGTGCATCTGCAAATAAAGGGTTTTCCTGAATCTTCCGAGTGCCCATTATGTGTTTTCTGGCCGTCTGGTAATTTCTGCCACGGTATGATAATTTTGCTTCCTACTTTTCTGAGAAAATTGAAGAATTCAAAAGAGATTTTCCACAGATCTGTTTTTCATATTTATCCACCTCTGCATATTCTTGTCTTTCTTGCTTTTCAAACTCATAATCAAAGCCCGAACCCCAATTCCTTTACACAAATTCCATGCCCTCTCACCGAGTCAAGTATATAACTTCAGCTATTCTCTACTTCCTCTCATAATTGCTTTTTATTTTTTAAATAACTATGTACTAGAACAAACTAAAGCCCTCAATATTTGTCAATTAACTTTACCTCAGGCTGCTTTTACTCTACAAAGGCATAGCTGGCTAGTTGCCTCAAAGACCTATGGCCCACAAAGCCTAAAATATTTACTATAGCTCTTTATAGAAAGTTTTTTGACCCCTGCACTAGTTCAATCTCAGCATCAAACATGCTCTTATTTTTCCCCAACTTAAAAACAAAGAACTTTGACCTCACTTCTCCTATTAGTCACCATTGTTCAGTTCCTTTTTGCAACAAAATTTTAAAAATGACCCACACCCACTGTCTCTCTCTACCCTTCTGTTTCTATCTTAAACCCACTCCATCAAGCCTTTGCTCCAAAGAAATGCTCCTGTGAATATCTCCAATGACCTTGATGCTAACTAAATACAATGACCTTTTCTCAGTCCTCATCTTCCTTGACCTCTCAGTAGCAGTAGACACAGGTAACTACTGTTTTCTGATACAGATTCATGACTTTACTTCCACGGGCTCCACACCCTTCGTTTTCCTCCTATTTAACAGTCTCCTTTGTGAGATTCCTCCTCTTATTGTCAACCTGTCAATGTTGGGGTGCCCTAGGGCGGAGGCTGTGATCTTTTTCTATCAATATGCTATTGGTGAACTCAACAAATATCATAGCTTCCTCTCTGACTGGGACATAACTATAGTATCATAACTTGACAGCTAGTTGTGCCCTCGTCAATTTCTAATGTTCACTGCTGTGACTATATTAAAGTTCTTTTTCCTTGAAAACTTGGAACAATTGTTGTTTCTAAAATATAAATTCAACCAATACACAAATTAACTATATTTTATTTAATAGGTTTGGATTTGGGATCAGTGCTAATTTTATGCTAACATAAATGTCAATATTTATGTAACGTACAAAGAGTAGTAGCTTGGTTTATAAAAATGTATTAGCAATAAAATATGTAACAAATGTTTCTTTATACCAGTATATATAGCTACAAATTATAAATCTATATCAAGTTCTTTAATTTTGCAATCTTTTTGAAACACACAACAGTTAAACATGTAGTTATTATTGTAACTTACATTTTACAGATGATAAATCTGATGGTTGATAACCCAAGATTATACAGCAAACATACAGTAGAGCTAGCATTCAAATTAAGGTCATTCTAAATATAAAGTCTATGTTCTGATACCTATATATTCTAATACCTATGTAATGATACCTGTAATTCCCACTGAACAATCCGGCGATGGCTGGAACCATGGTGTATCTTTGTTTGTCAGCCTAGGCTTAGTAATGTGCGACAGAAAACAAAGTGTTTCACGATTTTTATAGGATAAATGCATCAAAAAATCAATAAAATAGCTGAACTCTAGGATGAAGATTAACGGTCTCAAGTTTCATTTCTACTTCATTAAACTAGGTCCTAAAGATCATTCATTTACATCTTCAAGTCAGGTAATTGAATTGTCAAATCTTGTTTGATTATTGTGGAATCATTTCAAAATTGCTAGGCATATATGTGCTACTTTAGTTCAACATGGATTGAGTACCTAGTCAAAGTTAAGCACTCTGCTGGGGTTCCACAGATACAAAATTGCTTTACCCAAACTAAGTGATTATGCCCTGAGTGGGGAAGTGGGTGGTGTTAGGTGGGAAGAACAATGTTAGACAGCTATAACTCATAGCAGAATAATATATACGTTAAATAAAAATGTAAATTCATAAGCTAGAAAGAGAAAAATTCATACAGAGACTGAAAAATGGGGGTAGGTACCTGGAACATACTGTTGACTGTGGTAGAAAATAGGACTGGAATTGTTTCAGACCAGGACCAAGTGGATTAATTATTAGATTAAGTAGCATTGTCTCCTGATAATGGGAGTCATTGCTAGTTAATGAGGACAGGGTGATATATTCTGACTTGTATTGTTTGAAAGTACCTAATAGCAGGGAGAAAGATAAGTGAAAAATAGTGAAAGAAGAAAAGCCATCTAAAAGGCTACAATAGCAAAGGCATAAATTAGGGCTATGAATATTTAGATCAATGGATGGTCAAAAACTTGGTGAAAGCATAATGTCATGGAGTTAATAGTACCAATAAAGTGTATTAAGAATAACAGGAGAACTGGAAGTTTTGGGAAAATAATAAATTTGTCTTTGTTTAGTTTAAAATGTTGACAGGGTAATGGGTAGGAGAAAGTTGAGAATTTGAGTCTATTTAAGAAAAGAAGGTTGGACTGGAGTTGTAAATCTGGAAGTTACAAATGTAAAGTTGGTGCTTGTAGCCCAAGGAGGAAAGAAGCATCCCTCATAAAGAAGTTTTATGATACAATTATAATCCAGAGAACTTTTACATGTGAAAGGCAAGGAGAAAAAGTGTTAATGAAGAAACTGCTAAATAATCAAACATATAGATGAAGAACCTAGAAAGCTTCACAAAACCTAAGGAAGAAGAAGAGTTCATCAAAGTGAGCAGAGCCATTAACGGCAAAGCCTTAGTGAAATATACTTGGATGAACTCTAAAAAATGCACTGGGTTTCCAAATAGGATCAATTAAGACCTTTAAAAAGGGTTTCAGTAGAGCAGAGAGGACAAAGATAAATGTAATAAGGGGCTGGGACAGAAAGAGGAAATGGAAAGGACTGTCATAGAAAAGACTTACACATTTTAGGGGATAAAGAGAAGAAAGGTATGGGTATGACCTACTTAATTTAGTCTGTACCTTAGGCAGGCATAATAACTCAGTGTTTTACAGGTATTATTTTTTTCCACTTAATCCCAGTAGCCCAACTTTCTTTTTCCCCTGTCTCAATCTGAAGTAGAAAATCCACAGACTATTGCTTCCATCTTTCGGCTCTTTCTAATCCAATGCGCACTGATACAAGTTAACAACATGGGGGTTGTAATGGGGAGAATTGAGGAGAAATAAAAGAAAATGGGGGGGGGATGAGTATGAAAGTCCAGATCTCACCCACAGTTTTGAGTATTAGGTGGGGGTCTGGTGGTTGAAAACAGCAAAAGAAATGTGGGCAACTTAGCTTGTGGTTTATTGATTTTATCCTGTATGAGAATTTGTGTTTGTGCAGAGAGGTGATAGGGAGATGATTAAATGGTATATGATATCAGGTAAAATGGTAAATGCTGATTCTTCTAACCGGCTATGAAGAACTATGAAGAATTGACAACATGAAAAACTAAAATTTAAAATTTGGCTTGACTCTGTGAAAGCAATACTAATTATTATAATGTTATCTATTAGAACTACTTACCATGTATGCCTAATTATGTGCAACACTATAATGATTATGTATGTAATTAAAAATTCATCAAATTAATTTTGCTAGAAAGCTTATTAGACTAGAACAGAAATTTTATACTCGGATCAGTCTTCATAGAGTGCTTTTTATGAAGCACGGTCATTGGTTCATGCAACATTATCATTGGTTTGGATCTTAAACTGAAGTAGGAAGACCAGTAGTATTTAAGGAGATGCAATATGCAAGCCAAGAAACAGATATGTAAACAGGGAATCTGATCTGTATTCCTCAGCATTATCATAAAAGGAAAGTGTCATTTTTAATTAAAGGAGAGTAGCTATGATGTCAGGAATCAAATGTAATCCAATTGATGAAGACAAAGCCAACACAGACCCACTCCATTCTGTTATTTTAAGGAATATTTTTATGTCCTTTTCAAAGTTGTATAGGAGAGTACTATAAAAGTGTGGGTATATATTTTCTATCAAATGCAAGTTAACAGTTTACAATAAGCATGTCAAAGGCTAACACGGGCCAAATAAACAAGGTTTAAGTTGATGTGGGCCGCAAAAAAACAAAAGCTTCAATTTTCATAGAAACATAGGTTAATTTCTATAGAACATGCTGAAACATGATGAATACAAAGGGCTGAAATAAATGAGTAGTCATTAACATAAAATAATAGAACATTTTAATAAAAATTAATTTTTTCTTGAATATTAACTTACCAGACACTGAATAACTACACAAATTAATAAGCGTAACACAAACCTATTTTTCTTGTTCTCCAAAAGCAAAATAGTTCCTGTTGCACACACAAAACAAGTCAGTCCAAGACTAATGACCTGGCAGTTGGCTGCTAAAATATTCGCTGCTAGTATTAGTGGAGAGAAATGGTGCGCCTGCGCGTAAGGCACATAAGGGAAATGAATGCAACATGATTATATTAATCAGTCATTCGCAAATGTTGTAGTTCATTATTAATAATTATGTATAACAGGATATTGTAAAAATTGAGTTATGAAATTTTTATTAAAACTTTTCTTACATACTTTATATTGGCTGGGCCGCAAAAAAATATTCGTTGTGGGTCCCATGTGGCCCATGGGCCGTGAGTTTGACATGTTTGGATTACAAATAGCGTCTAGCTTTGAGGTATCTAAGATTCTAAGATGTTCTTTAACTTAGAAATAGATTTAAGAAATAGATTTTTGAATTTTTATTATTAATAATAAATAGTAAGAATTCTACATGGATACAAAATTAATTCATATTGTATCTCTTTTCCTTTTCCTTTTCTCTAAGAGCTGGTGGAATATAATGGCTACAGACTGTGAAGCCAGAGTACCTAAGCTCTAACTCTGGTTTTACTAATTCCAGGTTATGTGAGTACCACAAAAATTAGCTAATGTTCACCAATCCTGTTTCCTCTTCATGGGCAAATAAAACAAGAAGTTTTCCCACTTGACTTGCTCTTAGGTGAAAGCTATACATCTGGCTTCTGGACAATGTTATATAAGCAAACTCAGTGTGCGCCTCTTCCTGAACTGCCCCTGAAGAATTCAGATAATCTTCCACTTTCTTCCCTTCACTTGTCAGCGCTCTGGATGCAAGGAATTCAGCAGAAAACTCATTGGACCTTGGGAACGTAGAGGCCTCAAATTGAAGGAGCCTGAAACACAACATAGGAGGCAGCCCTGAACCTAACTGTACTGTGATCTGGGTTACAAATTATTATATGTTGTTGTTGTTTCATTGAACTCCCTAGGTACTAGGGTTGTTTGTTATACAATACATGGTGATAGGTAAATGACCTAAGATCTCTATTCTTGTTTTTAGTTATCTCTAAAATGGGAATAACAATAGAAACTACCTCATAGAGTTGTCATGAGTTTTAAATGGGGTAAATCATGCCAAGTTCTTAAAATATTGCCTGCCAAATAGTAACTTTTTTATTATCAGTATTTTTATTATCATTGTACCATTTAAGGTTAATCACCCATTCAGTACAACAGACTATCGTCAATATTCATATAATTTACACATTTTTTCCGGCAATTTGGAACTATGCTTCTTTTTACAACAGCAGGGCTTTCTCTTTTGCTCTTTTACTTTTGGGTGTTACATGACATAATTCTAGTTTTGCCCCCAAAGCACATGTGCATTTTTAAATATCTTCCAGAGAAGATACCTTTTAGGCAAATTCTCCTGAAATGTTTACATGATTGCAGAGGGGAAAACAGTAACCACAGAAAATAAAGATTTTTCTATCCTGGCTACTAGCAATTGGGTCCTATAAAATATGAGTATTATTCTCTGAAGCAAATCAATGTACATCCACCTTTAATTTTCTACATAAGCATGGACCAATTAACACCTCAGATAAACAATTTTCACCAAATAGCTATGGCCATTTTCTCAGTCTTTAGGGATTATTATGTTTTTTTGTGTGTTTTTAACAGGATCTAGCAATTGGGTCCTATAAAATATGAGTATTATTCTCTGAAGCAAATCAATGTACATCCACCTTTAATTTTCTACATAAGCATGGACCAATTAACACCTCAGATAAACAATTTTCACCAAATAGCTATGGCCATTTTCTCAGTCTTTAGGGATTATTATGTTTTTTTTTTTAACAGCATTGGGTTTTAGAACACATTTCCCCAAATGTACGCTGGTTTATGATTTAGAAAACACATACAAATAACTTGCTAACCTGCCTCAGAGTAAAAACACAACAGCAGAGAATGGTAATTAAAAGATGATAACTTGATTCCAACAATTATAAGATTCTAACAATTACAATAATTACAAGTTATTACTGTTAGGAGGATTCTTTGTACTTTAGTTTTGTTTATATAAATATTTCTAAGCCAGAGAACCACTGTTTGAAATGTTGTATGTACAGCCATCAATTCATCCATAGTATAATCAATAGCAATATGCTGGCAGCCTTTACGACCTAAAATCAAACAATTCACATTGATTGTGTATTGGACTTAATACGATAGTGAGAACACAGCTATTGTAATCATGTGCTTCTAGGTTATATATTTCTCCCAGAGAGAAAATTAAAACTTTTATAAACTCTTTGGAAATACAAAAAGATACCTTCCCAAATATATGTTATATGGGACATTATTTTACAAGGTAAAATAAGGTTTTATTCTCAATTTTAGTAATCAAATTGCTCCCTGAATTTGCCTTATACAAAAATTCCCTTTAACCAACAACTATAATCTTAGTAATGAGAAAAAAATTACTCTTTTTAATGTAGCACTTTGAAAAAATAAGTATTTCCTTCACTTTTTATACGTGGAAATTGAAAAGCTGATACAGCATATTACCATGCCAGACAGCTCCTCTTGTCAGCAGGACGCGTGCTTGTCATATTTAGGATGGTGATAATTTGTGCCACATCATTCTTTCTCTCACCCCTATTTCCCTGGCCTACGAAAAAGGAGTGTGAGCTGGCTTCCAGAGATTAGGCTCCTGCTTGTGGCTGCTAATGTGAATTTCTTCACATTAATTTGCTTAGTGCTAAACCACAGTCCTGGCCTCACTTTTTCAATGCGCTCTTAACATTAAGGAAGGAAATTCTTTTTTAAATATGTTTGTTCCATTTTTATTGTAGTATAACTTACATACAGTAAAATTCGCTCCTTTTAGTGTACGGTTCTATGAGTTTGAACAAACGCATACAGTTGTGTAACCAATACCATCATCGAGATATAGAACAGGGCCATTATCCCAAAAGATTTTTCTGGCCCTTCTACAGTCATCTCCTTGCCCCACTGCCAGTTTTTGGTAATCACTGATCTGCTTTTTATCTCTATAGTTTTGCCTATTCTAGCGTGGTTCTATAGATGGAATCATCCAGCCGGTGGCATCTTTACTTAGTAAAATGTATTTGAGATTCATCCATGTTGTTTTATCAGTAGTATTGCTGAATAGTGTCCACTGTATGAATGTACCTCAGTTTGTTTATTCATTTCACAAGTGATTGAGATTTCAGTTATTTCTAGTTTGGGTGCATTATTTATAAAGTTGCTATATACATTTACATACATGTTTTGTATAAATATAGGTTGTCATTTTGTTTGGGTAAAAATGGGAATGTTTGCTTATCCCATCTAATAAAGAGTGAATATGCTAATTGACCCTCACACTGTCACAAAGATGGCAGCACCATCAGCCAATAAGGAGGGAATATGCTAATTGACTGCCCCACCCTCAAAGATGGTGGCACCCACAGCCAATAAGGAGGGAATATTCTAATTGACTGCCATGCCCTCAAAGATGGCGGTGCCCACAGCCACAAGGTGGCTGGCAGGAAGGGCAGTTGTGGGTGATCAGGTCATCAGGGGAGGGCAATTGGGGGCAACCAGGCCTGCAGGCGAGGGCAGTTGAGGTGGACCAGGCCTGCAGGGGAGGGCAGTTAGGGGCAACCGGGCTGGAGGGGAGGGCAGTTAGGGGCAATCAGGCCAGCAGGGGAGGGCAGTTGGGGGCAATCGGGCTGGCAGGGGAGTAGTTAGGCGTCGATCAAGCTGTCAGAGGAGTGGTTAGGGGGTGATCAGGCTGGCAGACAGAAGCAGTTAGGGGCAATCAGGAGAGGCAGGCAGGCAAGTGGTTGGCAGCCAGCAGTCTCAGATTGTAAGAGGGATGCCCGACTGTCGGTTTAGGCCCGATCCCTGTGGAACTGCTGGCTCCCTGTGGGATCGGGCCTAAACTGGCAGTCAGACATCCCCCGAGGGGTCCCAGATTGGAGAGGGTGCAGGCTGGGTTGAGGGACACCCCCCACCCAGTGCACAAATTTCATGCACCAGGCCTCTAGTATGGTAAAGATGTTTCACTTTATAAGAATCTATCAAATTTTCATGTAGTATGTAAGATAAGAATCAAGGTTCATTTTCTTTTTACATTAAATGTTGAACTTTTCTAGCATTTGTTAATCTAACCTTTCTCCATTGAATTACATTTGAATCTTTGTTAAAAATCAGTGGATTACATATTTGTGGGGGTATGTTTGATTAATCTACATATTTACCCTTTTTCCAATATCACACTGTTTTTGATATAGCAAATCTTGAAATCTGGTAGCATGAGTTCTCATTCTATGTCCTTGTTTTCCAAGATTTGTTTAGATACTTAGTTCCTTAATATTTCCATAAAAATTTTATAATCAGCTTGTCAGTTTCTATGAAACCCTGCTAGGATTTTAATTGGAATTTTATTAAGTCTACAGATTTGGGAACACTGACATCTTAACAACATTATGGAGTCTTCTAATTTATAAATATGGTGTATATATACATTTATTTTGAGCTTTGGGTGCTTTTTTTCATGAGTTTTCAGCATATATTACACAAATATGTTCAATTCATCCCTAATTATTTCATAGTTTGAGTGTTGCTATGAGTGGTATTGTTTATTTCAACTTCCAAGTGCACATTGCTTGCATTTAGAAATATAATTGATTTTTACAAATTAACCTTGTATAATATGACCTTACTAAATTCACAAAAAAGACACAAATTAAAAACAGCAGCTAGAAAAGAGAGGGTGTCACTGCAGACTCTATAACTTTAAAAAGATAATAAGAAAAACTACCAACCTCTCTAAGCCCTTAAATTTGACAACATAGATGAAATAAATTAATTCTGTGAAAGACACAAACTGCTAAATCTCACTCAAGAAGAAATAGATAATCTGAATATTTCTATATTTATAAAATAAATTGAATTAGAACTAAAACCTCCCACAAAGAAAATGCTAGATCCAGATAGTTTCACTGGAGATTCTACTAAACATTTGCATTAGAAATTGTACCATTTGCATGCAAACATTTCTAAAAATCAGATGAAAAGAAAACATTTCTAACTCATTTTTACGAGTTTAGAATTATTCTAATACCCAAATCATACAAATACATTCAAAATAAGAAAACTATAAAACAATATTCCCTTTGAACATAGATATACACTTCCTAACAAACCAAATATAGCAATATATAAAATAACAATATATCATGACTATATGGGGTTTACCATATAATACAAGACTGGCTTAGAATTTGAAAATCAATTAATTCAGGTTACCATATCAATAGACTAACAGAGAACAGAAATATGATCATTTCAATAGTGGCCTAAAAAAGCACTTAAAAAAAAACATATTCATTGACCTGACAAATATCTGCTATGATATCAGGGACAAGTCATAACAGGAGCAAGGTAACTGCTCTTACCACTTATAGGCAATAATGGACTGGAGGCCCTAGCCAGTGCATTAAGGTTAGAGGGGAAAAAAAGATTGTAAGGTATAAAAATTAGAAAGAATGAAATAAATAAAACAACCTCTATTTTCAAACAACACAATTGCCTACATAGATTTTTTTAAATCTAGCAACATGGTTCAGAACTCAAAAGCAATTCTTTTAAAATACTATTTAATAAATTAACATGAGTAAGCTATCACTTCATACTTTTCACTTTGCATAGTAATATTCTTATGAATTTACTATTCTTTCAATAAGGAAAAGCATTTTTTTATAATTTACATATATTATCAGGTAGAAGTAATTATGTGGTTTAAGAAAATATTCTGTGGACTGAGTGTGAAGTTTATAACAGATTATACACATTTTTATTTTAAAATAACATGGTTGTGTGTATATACTCGGCGCATATATATCTTCCCATTCTTTTTGATAGTTGTATATTCCATTTTATGAATGATTCATAATTTAGTAAATAAATTACCCGCTGAAACACATTTATTTTATAAAGGACACAGCTACCTGTTTAAATATCGTTTTACTTTTCCTTCTGAAACAAGTGAAGAGTTGTTTGTAAGCAGTGGTGACCCCAGGCAGATACTCTAGGTCCTGCCTCTCTTTCCATCTGGTTTGGGCCTCATAACTGGTTATTACCTAAGGAAGGTGTGCAGGAATGATATCTATCTCTTCCTCATCAGAATGATGAAGAGTGCTCATGTCTTCTCCACTCCTGTATTCTCTTATTTACCGCCTGGAAAAGTCCTTGCACTGCCATGCTTTCATGCTGTTTTCTCAGACATTTCTCTATCTATAATGGGAATACAACTCTAAGGTATGCTACCCCTTGACATTTGAAATGTATAAACTAAACCAAAGTTAAACCAAAGTGACAACAACCAAAACTTGAGCATGTACCACACCAGTGGTGAGAGATTTTCCCATTTTATATCATATCTGCAAGTTGCAGGTTTACTGAGAGAAGGAGTTCTAACCTCAACTCACTGGCTAACACTAGATGTAAATGGCTTATTTTAGACTCCGAATAAAATCATTTTTAGTAATTTACCAACTTTGCATTCTGATTTCTTAAGGAACATTTTATTTTAATGGCATTCAGAGTTCTAAAATTTAAATATACAAAACTTTTAAAGTTTTCATTATACAGAAAATTAATATCTAGTTACCAAGGCACAATCAAATGAGAAGAGGTTAATTTATTTTATGTTAAAAAAAGACAAATTTGGTTTCAATATTCATTGACAAAATGTGCTAAATAATATACCTGTAATCTGTAGGTATAAGTTATTAGTGGAAATATTGTGCAAAAAAAAACATTTACTTCAATTTTACCTGTGAGAGGATATCCTATATAATAAAAGGCTAATATGCAAATTGTCCCCTCGACAGGGAGTTAGACCCGAAGTTCGACCAGGGGGCCGGGCCAGCCCACCAACTGCCCACAGCCCCTCCCCGTGGCTGGCCCCACCCCTGATTGGCTCCCCCCACCCCAATCGGGGTGGGCCAGCCAGATCCCACCTGTGCATGAATTCATGCACTGAGCCTCTAGTGAGAAGATAAAGCCAAACAACAGATGCTTGTGTGGGGTTTTCTTCTCAGGTTAAATTATATGAGGAGAATGCCATTACTGATGTCATAGGGATGGTGTGAGATTTAAATACAGTAATTCAATAGAAGCACTTACCTTAGTGTCTGAATATTTTAAAAGGCCCATTATAGGTTGCCAGTTATAATAGTATAATTACAATAATTAACAACATTTCCATCAAAGAGACCCAGAAATTTTCTCTTCCATTTTTGTTTCTATAAAATAACAGGCACACAAGCTTTCTTGAAATGTGCTCTAGTTTTTAAGGTAGAAGACATAGACCTGTTTGTGATATCTCTTACCAGACATTTAATTGTATGCTAGTTCTTAAATGATCTGAGCCTTAGATTTCAACTGAGCAAGTGTTTTGATGAGTTTTCATGCATATTAAAATTATAATGAGAGCAAGCATGCTCTATAGGCTGAAAGTATCATGTAACTGCCTAGATATGAACTGGTTTAGAGAGAATTAAGGGAGAGAGAGCTGAGGATACTATGCGCACTGGACTGATAAAACTAAGGTAGTATGTGGTATTATACATCTTGTTTTAGTAGTGTTTTGTATTTGATTTTGTAGTAAGGATTGTAGGTTATGTTTATTAATAATAAGAAAACCATGGTTAGACCTTTGCCTGGTTCAATATACTTAGATGCATCCCCAGTGAAACTATGCTTGAGAGAGAACATAACCAAATTTGCCACAAGGACCTGAGAAAAATATAATTACCTAGTAGAAATTGCATACATCTCGTAAAAGAATTTCTATGCCTACAGGTAGAAGGGTAAAAAATGAATATACAGTTGAAGATAGATTATATGCATATAAATTACATAAGTATATTACATAACTTACTTGAGATAAACATAATAGGGTGGAGGTAGTAGTAGCATTTGGGTTCGAGAACATGAGGTAGCATGAATAAAGAAACCTCCTTTGAAAAGGGAGTTCATAACTTCTAACAATTTCTGCATATTTAGAAGGTTAGAGGTACTTGTGATTAAATCTATAGTATTTGCAAAGTGAAGGTAAAAGTCATTTTTCTTTCCTTTCAAAGGTCAGACATTGTTGTCTTAAATCCTCATACTAGTCCCAGTCCATTGAAGGCAACAATAACCTTGGGAAGGTGTCTGTTAAGTTCAATACATGAGAATGAACAAAGGTAAATGCACCACATTTCTTGGCAGCAGAACACTGAAGGTTTATTCTCTGAAGAGATGGAAGCAGAGTAATTTTTTTACCAGGAGAACAATAGGCACAGACACAGGCATGCGTCTCACATTGAAAACAGGTGGAAGCTCTACTGCAGGAACAGACCAAGAATACTGGGCTCCAACTGCCCTCCTCACTCATGGGGCAGAGGTTCCATGCCAAGAAGACCAAAGGCAACCATAGCCACCTAGAATGCCACTTGTAAGGCAGAGGGGTCACTCTGAGGGAAGTGGGGCAGTGTACCCATCTCTAGCTCCAGGGCAGAGATAAAGAGATTGCCCAGGGGAAAAAGCAGGCTTGCAGAACAGATATCTGGGTCATTCTCCCGATGGGAACTGACTTCATTTAGATCAGAGCATCGGGAAGTTCAAACCTAAAAGCCTGTCAAAAGCAATAGAGATTTTGGTGGTAATTAAGTAAGACAATGATGGTAGCTCCATGGGAGCAACAAACTAAAACAAAGGTCAGCCAGACTCAAGAGAAAAGATGGCTAAGAAGAAGAATCCTCCTGGAGTTAGAACAAAGTTCAAAGTCTGCTTCTGAGAAGCGGCCAAAATTGTATTGAATAAGACAGTGGAGCAATTTATGACAAAGTACTTTTTAAAAATTTGATTTTTTGGGGGTGTCATTGGTTAATAAAATTACATAGGTTTCAGGTGTACAATTCTATTATATATCATCTGTATATTGTATTATCAGCTGAGACTTAGTGCATGCTAACTGGCAAGTGTGATAACAATAGAGGCATACATCTAAAAAAAAAATCAGGTAAACAGAAAATCAAACAGAGTCCTTCTAAAACATTGTCATCCCAGGGGGACTGTGGATATGCCCAAGTCTATACCCTAAAAGGGGTGACAGAGACTTCACCAAAATAATCCAGTCCATGTAATAAAAAAAATTAAACATGCCTAAAGATAAAATAAAATAAACCACCAAGTCCCACAATAAGGAGCAGGGAAGAGCAGTATCTAGAGTTGCTAAAATATATTATCAAAAATTCTAAGTTTTCAATCAAAAATTATGAGACAGCAAAGAAACAATAACCTGTGACTCACACATAAGAAAAAGAAAACCAGGTTGTAACAAGAATTGCTTTTCAGAGAGCCCCATGTGAGAATTAGCAAACAAAGACACAAAATAGCTATTATATATTTACTAGATGCCCAGTATATGAAATTCGTGCACTGGCAGGGTCCCTAGTGGCTGCCAGCTGCCACCCATGTACTCCCTCCCTTTCTCCGGCCGGCCCTGCCCCCTGGTCGAACTTCCAGACAAACTTCCTGTCAAGGGGACAATTTGCATACTATGCTTTTATTATATAGGATTCAATAAAACTACAAGAAAAATGCTGAAAGAAGTAAATAAAGAATATGGTAAAAATAGCACAGGTGACAGAATAAAGATAAATTGTACTTTATCAAAAGTGAAAACTTTGTATATCAAATTACACTATCAGAATGAAAAGGCAACCCAGGAAATTGGAGAAAAATGTAAATATATACTGAAATTATATATCTGATAAATAATTGATATCCATAATTTACAAAAACTTTTATGATTCAATAACAAAAAAACAAGCCAATTTTAAAATGAGTAAATAACTTGAATAGATATTTCTCTAAATAAAATATGCAAATTGCCAATAATAACATGAAAAAATGTTCAACATCATAATCATTAGATCAATGCAAATGAAAACCATAATGAGATACTATTTCACACCATTAAGATGGCCATTATTAAAAAGAGTAAATTTAAAAAATAAACAGAAAATAACAAGTATTGGCAAGGATGTGGAGAAATTGTAACCCTGTGCATTGCTGCTAAGAATATAAAATGGTGCAGTCACTATGGAAAACAGTATGGTGGTTCCTTAAAAAGTGAATATAGAATTACCATATTATACAACAATTCTACTTCTGGGTATGTAACCAAAATAGTAAAAGCAATGATTTGGACATATATTTGTACACACTTGTTTCATAGTAATATTGTTCAAAATAACTGAAAGGTGGAAATGATCAAAATGTACATAACCAGGTAAATAAACAAAATGTGATATATGCATACAAAGGATTGTTATTCTGACACATGCCTCAACATAAATAAACCTTAAAGATATGCTAAGTGAAACAAGCCAGTCAAATAAAAAAAAAATTTCATGACTCCACTTATGTGTACCTACAGTGGTAGGATTTATAGAGCTAAAATATAATGATGGTTTGGTTTCCAGGAGCTGGGGAAGGTATGAGATTTCGTGTTTAATTTGTATGGCATTTCAGCTTGGAAAGCTGAAAATTTCTAGAGATGGATAGGGTAACAGTTGTACAACAATGTGACTGTACTTAATGCCACTGAGATAGACACTTAAAAGTTATAAAAATGATAAATTTGATGTTATTTATGTGTTATCACAATAAAAAATCTGAAAGTGAAATTGAAAACAATTCCATTTAAAATAGCACCAAAAACAAAATACTTAGGAATAAATTTAATAAAAGAAGTGTAAGAGTTATACACTAAAATTTCATGTTCATGAATTATAAGACAATACTTTCCACATGATCTACAGATTCAACAGTTTAAATTAGGAAAAGTCACAGAAGGCTTTGGAAGGTATGTCAATAAGAAATTCTACATGGGTTAGTTCTGAAGACTAAAATAATGATGATGAAAACAGTGAATATTGATTTAAACAATAACTGTATATATTTATTTTGGAAGAATCTATGTAGTAGGTGAGTTAAGAAGGGCATTTTCTAAGCAAGCAAAATAATCACCAGTAGAAAGCAGCCTTTCTGCATAAATTGACAAGATGATCTAAAGTTCCTATGGAAATGCAAGGAACAGAATAGCCAGGAAAAATCTTAAAATGAAGAACAAAGTGAGAAGACACACTTCCCTATTTCACAATTTACTACAAAACTACAGTAATCAAGACTATGCCATACTGGCATAAGGATAGACAAATAGCTCAATGGAACAGAATTGAGACTCTAGATATAAACTCTCA